GAGTAAAATTCATTTAACCTATTTATTTTTTTCAATAAAAAGGGGATTTTGTTCTACGTTAGAACTTACTGCCATTTCAGAGGGGATTACTTTTATTCTAAATTAAAAAAATTGAAACAAATGTCAAAATACCATTCCTATATTCTTCTCTCTTACAGAATGCATAAGACTAAGTCCTATCAGGTTAGTAGGTATTTTTAACTTTTTAGTTTTAATTCTTTTTCCAAACACCATAACTTTTTTAAAGTTAGATTGTTCACATTTTGCAAGGTTAATGGAAGAAGTGTTCCTTCTTCCACTGCTCACTTTTCCAAAATTGCCTATACTTTTAAAAGTCATTAAAAAGCAAAAGCTATCTGAGGAAGATTTAGGAGGAAGTTATTAAAAATCACATGAGTACTCACTTAACTGTTCTGTGGTGAAAAAAAAAAGAACAACACATCTAAGAGCCTTAGAAAAACTGTTTCTAGAATAGTTTCTCTAGACTATATGAGATCTAATGATGAAAGTCCAAGTTTATCAGAGAGTAGATTAGATCTTTTTCAACCAAGTTGCCCATCAGACTTAAATAAGTTAACTACTATCAAACAAGGGTGAGATGCTTACAAAGGAAGTGCCCAACTGACTGAATTTGGAATATAATACAAAGTAACAACTCTATTAGTATCTGTACAACTTCATGTAAGTGTTCTTGTGATAATTTTCTTAATGCTTCTCAGCTTGTTAATCAATTAGATATGCATCCCTGAATCCACAGATCCTCATTTTCCTGAAAATACTTATGACCTTTCCAGACATAAAAGCCTGGAGGACTGAAAAGCCATGTGACTGCAACAGCAGCTGGACTTTTCAACACTAAATTCAGTAAATAGTGAAAGATTCTTCTTTCTAAAACTTAAAAGCAGAACCTAGAGACCTATTTCAAGCAATCTCAATGAGGCAGATTTCCGAAAACATCCCCCTTCTGGAAACCAGTCCCCACCAAAGTTGCTCAGTCTCAATACAGATGCATGAGAAGCCACTAGACACATTCAAAACACCTTGATCAACATGAGCACAGTTGCAAATTGTTAAAAAACCTCCCTCAGCCAACTGGCACAACCAAGTGACAGCAGCAGTGAAAGATACAGAGCTCAGTTATTTGTTCTTGAGGCTGATGATAGGACAGGACCTAAATCAGGAACTGTCTTTAGGCACAGTGTGACTCTTCTCTGAAGAAGACTTCTCTTTGGACAATGAAAAGCATTTATGACTAACCTTTTCTCTCCAATACAGAAATCCTTTGCTCTTTGATACTATTGTTTTGTATTACAGTAGTATTTAGAAGGAGGGTTTCCTTTTTCTTAAAAAAAAAGGAAGAATCTCTTAGTGAACTAGTGTTTAAAATCCTGCTCTTGCATTGGGATGCTCACAGAGAAAATGGCACATCTGTGAAAAAAATACTGGAAGGTGAAATTTCAAATTGAATGCAGCGAGACTGATCACAGGAGATCATGAAGATGGGAGGAAGCAGAGAGTAGTAAGAAAACGCAACTATTAAGACAATTCAACATAATTTGATTCTTTCTAGCATCTAAAGCTTTTCTGGACTGAAACTGAACAAATGCATACCACATATCTCCATCATCTGTCTACTAACTCTTTTTAATTGGCAGTTCTCTATCACAGAAGCTGGGAGAAGTCTAAACAAAGGATATGAAACCCATTAGTGAAACAGGCCATCTGACTATTTCAGGGAGAAAATTCCTCTTGCATAGCCTATAGAGGTCACAAAACACCTAATGTATACACAGGAATTCTCGCTGATGTCGGTCCTTGAGAATAAGGAAGTATTTTTTTTTTAGTTAGTTTTTGGGTCAATGAAGACAAAAATAAATAATTTCTTTAAGACTATCAGAAACTTTTAAGTTCTCCAAGCAGTATAGCACAATGCAGGCAGAAGCACAACCTAGAAATGCTATCCAAAAGCCAGTGATTTTGGTATTTGACTGACTTCCCTCCCAGTGAAAGATTCTGAAAGAGATCATAGAATTTAGTTAGAGAACATCCTCAACAGTCCATTAGCAAGAGACAATGAGAGGAGAAAAAACAATTTTACAATTCCTGAGAAAAACTGTGTGAGCCTTATTGTGGTGTATACTTGTGTCAGAATGAAAACTGCACAACAACAAGCGCTGCACATTCAAACGGGCAGAGCATTTCCAATGTAGAAAGGGAGTTTCTCAAAGGCATATTTGTAACAAGAAGCTATGCCAGTTGCCTTGGAGTCCAGAGACAACTATCTGTCACAAGTAGAAGCAGAATAACTATAAGTAATCTCTTAAACATAATAATACTAAGAATCATGTTAATTAAAAATATGAACACTCATGAGACTGAGCCTTTTTTATTGCCTCAGAACTAGAACTGGCCTGTTATGCAGTAAGAACTGTAGCTGGAATTGCAGATGGCAAATGACTGACAGAATCAGGCTCCAGGCATGCTTTTTCTTCTTTACCATGCAGTTTTACACTAATTTAACATAGTGTTTACATTTTCTTTTCACCTTACAGTATGACGCTGTAGATGGCTGTACGGTTCCACACACAGTCTGAACTGTCATATGCCATAAAAGAGAATTTTCTCTTTTCCTCATGCAACTAGATGCTCAAAATGTAGCATTTTGAACCTGAACAAATTAAAAAAACTTGTATTTTTCATGTGTAAAGCAAAAGACATCTCCTGTGGAGGTTATTATCTGACATCCTATTTAATATAACAATGGTACTGGTATTGCTGCTGAGCAGATCATTACTCTGGGTTGCTGTATTTGAGGGTAGCCCCTTATTCAAAACCACACCATAGTATCCATTCACAATTGTTTTGAACAAATTATATTAACCAGGAAAGGTGATTCTTCTCCATTACCAAAATGGTAAGTACATTTAAAATAATCAAGTAGCCAAATGTCTCTGTCCACGGTAGCATTTAAAAAAATGCCTATAATCAAGAGATGGTGATACAGTAACTCAGAAATCAAAAAATAATTTAAAAACCCAAAGGGATACACATTAAATTTCAGAATTATTCAAGGCATATGCATAAAATGCTACTTATTTTCTTAAGAAGTTGATGGGAGTTCCTCCAGAGACTCTGGATAGCCTTTGGCTTGTATTCCTACCTTCAAACAGGGACACAGGACAGATATCCCTCCAGGCCCAAGAGGGCTGTACTCTTTGGCATGAGTTTCAGTGCCTTGTCACTTCCATTCATGGGCAAAAAGTGAATGTTTTAGAGGGTGATTTGTTTGTTTAAAAAAAAAAAATAAAGCCCATCTTAAACTGTCATAAAACATTATAAAACCAGGAAATCTTTCTGAACTATAAAGATTGCCTATTTGGATCATGTTCCTGGTAATCTCTTCTCTTTTTCCCCTCCCAGGAACAAATTTGATCCTGCAACCTTTATTCATATGAAAGGAACATTTGCAAATGTGCACTGAAGTCAAGCCAACCCAGCTTTTATGGGTCAGACTGTAGCCCCGTGTTTATATTGCAAAATAGTTGTTGCCCAAATCTTTCAGATGACAAAAATGAGTGAGTAGATGCAATTTAATGCTACTTAGTATATTGTAGGAATTATTTTCTGTTTTCCCTTTTTTTTGTTGTTTTGGAGGGCTAAACAATCTGCCATGTACAACACCAGTATATCTTTGGCACTTCTGTCTGTACAGATGTCCTTTATTCTACCTGGTTTTCTCCATCTGACTTTCCACTGTTCAGAAACAGTGTTATCCCAATGTTTCAAATAATAAAACCATGCAGTTGATTGGAATCACAAACACACACAAAAATTTAGTTTCTTTCTTTGCTTTTTGTGTAATCAAATAGTGGTCTTATCCTACAAATAAGCCTGATATTTTGTTCTTAAAACTGTTAGCTACCATCTTAAACAACATATGGTACTCATAAATATACTGCAAAATCTGCAGGAAAGAAAGACAGAGAGAAAGAGAAAAACAGCAAAATGCAATCATCTCCAATAATTTTTAATGTAATCAATGAGTTTGCAGATGATTCATTAAAAAAAAATGGCATGTTTAATCACTAAATGATATCTATTTGTAACAATGAGGTGTTTTTGTTGTCATCTAAAAGCCAGAGAGATACCTAAGACATTAAACACAAGGTGTGTAGCTATCTAGTTTCTTCTGACTTTCCTCCATTTTGGAAATACAAGTGTTTTCTAGAGATAATGAAGCTCCCAATTACTGAGAAGACTTTATTTACCCATTTTTGTGCTACTGAATAATATTAAAATAACAATGTCTGAAAACACTGTCAGTTGTATACCATGATAATCCCCATGAGTTTTGGTTCCATCACAACTACTAAACCATTGGGATGCTCAAATTGTAGATTTGATATCTGTGTTTTACAACCATTAAACATGCTTTGCACACCTTTACATCAACTGAAAGATTTTGAAGGAGTAACTTTCATTGATAAATAATTGGCTAAGGCATACAAGAAAACACCCAAAGCCAAAGCCATTGCCACTATGATGTTGCTACACTGGGTGTTTTCTTTAGCATAGCCTTTCTCTAGCAGGATCAGTTTTACAGAGCTCATTGGAATCCAGCTAGCAGAGGCATTTTAGAGAAAAATACATCTCACAGCAAGACTTTTCCAGGCAAAAATCTGTAACTGTAACTTAAAGTAAAAAATAAGTCACTGTGTAGTCCATAGTGCAGTTTCCTTCCTTATGCCTTGCTTTGTTCTTTTTTTCCTATAGATCCATATTAGTTCATTTTGTGAACTCTAGTGTCTTATAGCACTTTTAAATCAAGGGGAATAAATTCAGGAAGAATGAAGGAGCGAAAAAGAAATCTCTGACCTGGTATTACCAAAAAAAATAAACAAACAAAAAATAAAGACGCTAAGATGAAAACAAAATAGTGCCATGGATTTACATATGGGGTTTTGATGGAAACTAGTGCTGGGTTTTAAGTCAAAACTCACCATCTCAAAACCACTTCTTTTCATCCGCCTGCAGGACTTGAGGTAAGTACGTATGCGTTTTCTGGCACGCTCTTGATACTCAGGGAATTGTCGCCTGCATGAGTCAATGATAGCCTGGATCTTTTCTTTGGGCTGCTTAGAGATTGGGACCATTCGGTCCAAGTTTTCATCTACAAACAGCCTGACAAACATCTGTTGGCAAGAGGGAGACAGAGGAGATGGGTTTGGAGGGCAGCTCTCTTCTCTTCCTAGCTTCCTGGCTTGATTACTGATAGGAAGACTTTTTTTCTATCCACTGAAGAGCTTTGTAACGGGAAGCCAGAAATATAAAGCAAACAGTTCTTTAAAGGGTTATTTGGGGTGGGGGTGGGTTGGGTTTAAAAAAATAGACAAGAAAAGAATAGTCTATAGGATACAGAACTTGTGAGATAAACCAGAACAGATTGTGAAAATAGGCACTACTTAAGTTTCATTATTAACAATAGGCTGTGATTGCTAATCATTTTATTGAACTGACTCACATTTTTTCTTTGTTTGAACAATTGCTTGTGTTTTCATGCATAATTATATACATTGGGAAAGCAATAGAGAACAGCTGACCACCAGAATGGTCTCCTGACAAAACTAGCTACAGCCTCTTTCCGTTCAATGGGTGAACATGCACATCCACACAGCCACACACACGGTCACACATGCACACATACAGAACAAAGCTTTGATTTCCTCACTGGTAAAGATGGCACTCTGCCTCAAAATTCTAAATGAAACGCAGTAAATCTGTCATCTGTTGGCAAGAGTTTAATGTGCATTAAAATAGTAATTGAAATACAATCCTGCAAATTAATGTGCCTTTAATATTGTCAGACTTACCCAAGAACAACAACGCAAAAGGAATAGAAGAAGTACACAAGGTGAGTGCAAGAGGGCTTACGTTAAAAGCTTTCAGTCGCTCAGCTTCTACCCCATCTGATTCATTAACCTTCTCAGGATCTTCTTGCTCGTCATGGTCATCCTCATCCTCATCTCCTCGATTCAGAGACAGATCTTCAGCACCTCTGCCTACACTCTCATTCTTGCCAGAGTCATAGCTTGAATAGCTATGTGCAGGGGACTGAAAATAGAGAAAAAAAAAATGCTTGTAAAAATTCTCAGCAAAAATAAGGTCTTATCAAAAATGCTTGCTAAATATTTCAAGAATTCCATGAATCCTTTCTATACTTTGTTCAACATAAAGTGCTCCTAATCTTTCCAGGAGCAAACAATGCACAATTATATTGAGTGTTTTAAAAAATGTGACCAACCGCAAATTTCAGTAAATCTATTAACAAATTAGTTACCTATGATGTCTACAGTTAACATGAAATCTTTACCATACAGCCTTGTGTAAGTACTACCTAAAGAAGTTTCTTATAAATACTAACTTCTCTGTATTAATCAAGATGGAAATAAGGGATAGCTGATTTGAACAAAACTCTAAAGAATTAAAATTTAAATATTTCAAGGCAAAGAGGATTCAAATAGGAAACACTGGTATTCATCCAATGAATATTAAATATTACCAAGAGATACAAAAATTTATTCAAAATAAGGAAGTGATTAAGTTCTAGTTTCATTTGCAAAATCACAGAATGAATTAGAGATGTGTAGGTTTACATTTTGAATGCTCTCTGTGAATCATGTAGTAAAATTATTTTCTCTTTGAAAATCAGCATTCAGAACTTTCCCCTGGACAGAAAATCATTTCGTTGGAAAAAAAAGATGACCATCTCAATTAAGTGTATCCACTTGTAGGACCAAAAAGTTTCCAATTACCAAAAATTAATACAGTGCATTTTCCCTTGCAATATCAAGCCCTCAGTTAACTGTTCCCACTGCACACGCTTCAGACTGCAGACTGTAAAAAGGCATCAGTAACAGAAAGCCTTCCACAACTTAACATTCTACAACACAAAAATTAAAGATCAAAGCTTTTCCCCAGCCACAAAACATGTCAGAGTATCTACACCAGAGCCATCAGATTCAAATTTAGGTCAAACAGAGCAAAATTTTACTTCTAAATCTTAATGCTGTAATATTTCACTATTTTTCTCTCTTGCTTCAAAGCATTCTGTAGTCTGAATCAGGTGCTACATGACAAATTTCACACACACACTTTTTTTAGATGCCTCCTCCCTTAATGTCACCAAAAGTCAGGAGCATAATTCCTCAAACAAAGATACATTTCAAATGGCATGCCTTGAACCACATTCTGAGCTTCCTAAAATTGTCTTTATTTCAGGATATTTTGGCAGCCACAGAATGAATCTGGACAGTGAGGTAGAAGGGAAAGACAAACAAAACCTTTCATCTGTAAGGTATAGTTTTTGCTTTATATTCTTAGTTCAGCTTCTTTTTTCCTCTTTTCCTCTTCTCAGTTCAATCTCACTTTGGTCCTCAGTACACCATCAGCTTTAGAGTCACTTGCCTTGCCTTAACAGCACTCATATTGCAAGCCTATCCTCCCCAGACCATACTCTCACAGTACCAATCCACTGGAATTCCAGTTTTTAATCCCTAATGCTCCTAATATCAGAACTTGCAGACACTCTCATCCCCTTCCCTGATTCTCTTCACTCTCTAGACCGATCTTCCTTCCCTAGACCCTTACAGCAGATGTAGGAAGAGTGAGAAAACATCAGAACAAAACAGAAGAGCCAGCCTCTAGATAAATAAACTCAGCACCATGTCTTCTGGGGCAAGAAATCAGCCAGGGCTCAAGATGGCAGATGCAAGATGGCATGGGAAGATAAGGCTTGCAAGAGCAGCAAAAACAAAGCTCCAGTTCTTGATACACTGATAGCTTGTCTTGTGAAGATGGTGACTACTTACATTGCTGCCCAGTCAGATAAGTACAGGTTCCATCCTAGAGAAGGTGATGGATGTATCCTACCAGAGTGTCTACCATATGTAAGCAAAAGAGTTTGTCACCAGAAGGCCAACAGCTGCAGCGTGGTAGCCTGCTACAAAGGAAGGAGTGATTTCCCTTAAACCTGAAGAGAAGACATTTTTTAAAAAGAAAGTTACAATGAATCAATTGCTACTTTTGCACAGTGCTATGCAGTAGAAGGTCTGACCTATGCCGCAAGACTTGTTCTTCTGTATCTCTTTGTTTCACCCATCACTACAGCTATATAGCATGCAGAAGGCTTTGAGATGATCAAAAAGCCATTTCATGTACTAGGCACCACATAAAGCATAGAAGCTGGTGCCCTAAAGAAACCTACTGACTGAAATCCTTGTTGTGCAGACACTTGATCTTGCATGTGTCATTTCATCAGACTAAATCCAATTAGACTACTCATGTGCACAAAGTTAAACAGATGCAAAACTGATTTCAGTATGTACATATGTTCCGGCTGGATGCCAGGATCATAAATTATGCACCAGGGTTGAGATTTCTTTTTGTGAAGGAAACAAATTCAGGCCAAAATGGCTTAAGTATGTCTCTCAAAAATGCAACAGTCAGGGTGTGGTTTTTTTTTTTGTTTTTAGTTTTGTTTTGTTTTGTTTGTTTTTTAAAGAAAGCATTGCATAGAGAGCCTTGTCCAACATCTGAAGTTTTTATTTAAACAAGAACTTTAGCATCTTAAATAAACTGTGGAGAATAAGTCTGAGAAAGTTGCATGGCAGGAATCCATATTTATTCACTGTGAATCGGAAGGCTGTGTACAGTACCAGGAAAATGGTGCTTTTCTCCTAGTTGTTTCATTAGCAAACCGAGGAAGAAATAAAGCTAACTTTGAGTTTTCAAAAGTTCAGTTAATAGCAAAATTTTTACCTTTCAGCATTTCTACACAGATGAATATTGATTCAGAGAAGGAAGAGACGTCCCTCATTTGTGTTGACTCTGCAGTTGTACAAAAGACAATAAGGATTTCCTTTTGCTAGTCAATTAAGCAGCTGAAGTGCTAAACAAAGGGTTGGAGAGAAGAGGACAACTCATACTTTGTACATGATACCCAATTTTAGGTCGTGCACTGTCCTTTCAAAAGGCTGCTTCCACCTTTGACAGACAGGAACATCCTCATTCAGATTCCTGAACAGACCTTGACACACGGATTTTATGATCCTGCAGTAAACTAGACTGAAGAAGTGAACCTGGTTAAAATGTTTTGGATTTGCTTGTTTATTTGTGGATTTGGTTTTTTCTAATATTTGCCAGTCTGCTTAAGACAAGAATCAGTTCTTGGCTCCAGTTCACCACCTGAAAGCAAAACCCTTTGTGATGACAGGAAAGTATGAGCATAGAAGGGAGCAGACACATCTCTGTTGATAGCAATGAAAGAATAAATCTTGGTGGAGCGGAAGCATTAGTAGATGTAAGATGTTTCACAGGTGAATATTTTTTGCTTAAAAACTCAGGTGGGAGAAAAAAGTAATGGCAATGAGAAATTATTCAGTGAGAGTAAATGAGGCCAAGGCTAAGGACAAGATTATTTCCATCTCCAAACAAATGTTTGATTATTGAGCTGTCTTAAAAATACTGAGATGCTGATATTTATATTCTGACCACTTCATCCTTGCCCTTTCCTGAAGCTTATGAGTTCATTATTTTAATCTCTTCCTTGCAATAATAACAACTAGGCAGTACTGCTTCTTCAAAATGAAAGTAAAGGTTCATGCCTAACATCCTGTTTTTAAGAGATTGTGACATGAAATAGCAACATCTTTCTAAAACATTACAGGTCAGCAACAACATTCACCTGAAGTCAAATCATACAACAGAAGACCTGGGAGAACATCACAGTAGCATCTACTTTATCTTGCTGCCCCAGAACAAGGTCAGATGGCCAATCCTGACCACTGTTTTCCTAGTTTTTATCTTAAGACTTCCAGTGACAGAGATGCCATGCATCCTCCAGACAACCTGCACCAGAGTTTCACCGTCTTCAGAACTATTCAAACATTTTTAAGACCTCTGACTTTCATTAATGTACTAAACCTATTTCTTTTTCATGTATTCACCATGGATTGCAATGGAGGAAAGGTGTGGTTTTGGGAGAAGAGAGCATTCTTTTCCCTCTTTATGAGACTCTTTCCAACAACTGAGGACTGTTATCATGTCCCCTTTCCTCAATCTTCTCTCCCCAATAAATTAATTTATGCTGTGAAACCCATGTTTTCCTGATTCCTAATCATTCTTACTGGTCTGTTCTGCATGTTTTCTATCTGATTTGAAACCTTCTCAAAGAGCAACCCCCAAAACTCCAGAATGTATTCCATTTGCAGCCTTTCTATGAAAAATATATTTCTTTAACGTTTGATCAATTTCTAGCATGCTTACAGCAGAAAAACCTTATCCCTTTATGTGTAGAAGAATACCCCAAAATGCAAAAGGCAGCAGTACAGAAACCCCACAGCTGCCAACAGAAATCATGCTGTTATTTTATGAGGACTAAAGCAGAAGTAACCCGTAACATTTAAAAATATAGAGTCTACCATAGTGCTTCAATGCCTGCTGGGGTTCAACACTGGTGTATGGCCACTGGACAGGGTTTGGAGGATGATGCCACATGAACTTACTGCAGGAAGCTTGTCCCAGCAGACTCTTGGCTACCCCAGTGAGTGCACAGATGGCACTTCATTACCCAGCCAAAAGGTATTCAGTGATACAAAGCTAATTACTGAGGGTGACTATTTCTAATGATCAAAAACTGGAAAAATCATGTATTTTTGACTTTAAAAATGACAACATGAAACAAAAGACTCTACCTTTTCAGGGAAAGATGCCTCTGATGGATGTGTGGCAATTATTTTTAGTTTTTAATGAGGCTTCATTTTTCATATTTACATTACATTTTACATTTACTTAGAGAGTTTTACATGAATTTGAGTAGTGTGGAATTCTTTCAGTTGTTACATTAGACACCCATAAACCACAGAACTGTGAGCAAGAGAGACTTGCACATTTGAAGAGATGGCAAGACAGCAGTACACAGGTCTCCATGCTGCATGGAAAGGAAAGGGGTTTAGAGGCAGGCAGAGATGAAAACACTCTACTATACACTCTACTGGCTATACATGATTCTCTTCTAGAAATCTGCCTCCACGTCTTTAAAAGTTACTAACTCT